GCATTTATTTGTATGATTTAAAAGTTTGTAAACAGTCCATGAAGTATTAGAATATCTTTATCTAGCATTTGACATAAATCAATAAATTTCTATTTGTAGAATAATCTCTGAAAAAGAAAATCTCAGGAGTATGAATTTAATTTAGAGAAATAGGTGAGCGGGTAAAAAATGGCGCAATGTTAGATATTGTTGATGCATCATCAATCCTTCTTCGTTTTGAAATGGAAAATGTATCGGTTGGTAATCGTTGGAAAATTCTTTTACCAATTATTAAACCACATTTACATGGTATGCATAATAATTAATTGCATTTTGTATAATTAATTTAAGAAGAATCTAAAATATGCATAATATTATAATACAAAGGAATATTTTAGTAAATATTTTCAAATTAATTCCAATAATTTAAAATATCACATCCTATCAGTAATTTGAAATGATTTTTTTTTTTTAAACTTTCTTCTTTCAAATGTCACTTATCATTTGAAAATATTATTTGATTAGATAGTTTGAATGCAATCATTGCAAAATCTTGAAATATTTGGATGATTTAAAAAAAAAAAAAAAAAGGAAAAGTGAAAGAAAGATTTTTGATTAATTAAATTTTAATCTTTGAACAATTTCAGATCATATATTAGCTTTTAATGATGCACATATTCGTATGATTGTTGAAGGTTGCAATGATATTGCAACAAGGATGGAACATTGCAACAGTGTTGCAAGTTTTATCAAGTTTGTCTTCATTAAATTAATTAATCATAATTAACAACTTATAGGCATAAACCAAATTATCATACTTTCAGTTTAAAATAGCTATGCTGCAACATCTTCATAGAAAAATTGATTTTGCGGTAAATTTTTTTATCACTTTTTCAAAAAAAAAGCAAAGTTAAGAATTCATAGTAAATTAAATTTACCGTAGTATTGTATAAAAATTTTATCGTAGTATTGTACAAAAATTTTATCGTAGTATCATACAAAAATTTTATCGCAGTATTATACAAAAATTTTATTGTAATATTGTATAAAAATTTTATCGTAGTATTGTATAAAAAATTTTATCGTAGTATTGTATAATAATTTTATCGTAGTATTGTGCAAAAGTTATCGTAGTATTATATAAAATTGAAAAGCACAAGTGTATTACGTATTTGATGGAATATGTATTTTCTCATGTCTTCTTATAAATACCGTATTATTGCAGTAACAATAGCGGTGATAACAATGAACGAACTCAAAGTTTAGGAAAACCAATCTGTGATGCGATAACTTCTTATTACAGTGGTNATTATCATAAAGTTGTTCAGACATTAGCGCCCATACGCACAATGTATACAACATAGGT